TTGTGAAAGCCAACAAGAAAGAATGGTGCAGCGTGGATATTGCTGAGATTGAGGCAAATACAAATAGAATAAACTCTGTAAGGGAAAATCCACCGAGATACACAAAACGCTCTATTGATGAAATAATTTTCATCCTCCTAACCCTTTTCGAAGCCATTCCCGCTCGGCCGTCGAATATATATACACAGGCCGCCGGATCAACTTGAATATAAACTGAATGGCCGAACACAAGATGTTAAATAGGTTTTACTGAATAATTCCAACAGCGAGTCTGGAATTGACCATCTCCCCCCCCCCAGTCCTAACGTGGTTACCGCCGGCATTATATATAGAGTCAATAAGGATGTAACCCAGCGTTCTCTCTCTCTCTTGGCGGGAAACGGCGCTTTGGCGGGAAAACCTCCCTCCTTCCCGCCAAAGGATTTACACACGGTCGGTTTGTCTCGTATCTTGCGAAGAGGAGAGTAAACTTTTCGCTCTTGCTGGGAGATACCGGGATATCTATTTTACAGGGCGAAGGAGGGAGGGGGAGCGTTGGGAGAAAGGAAGGGAGGAGGGGAAGGAGGGAGATGGCGCGAACCATGGATGGAAAAGGGGAGTCGAGAGGAAAGACGTGAATGATATCGACCTTTTGCCGCCTGATCAAAGAGGAAGTCGTTATTATTATTTTTTCGTCTTTCCTTTTGTCCGCGATTTCTATCCCTCTTCAATATTTTTTTCTTTAAACGTCTCTCTCCACAGTTTCTCGTTCTCTCTCTCTTTGTATCTGTCTATTAGCCTTTGTCTCCATCGCAATCTCTCTCTCTCTCTCTCTTTCTCTCTCTCTCTCTCTCTCTCTCTCTCTCTGTCTCTCTCTCTCTCTTTCTCTCTCTCTCTCTCTCTCTCTCTTCTTTCTCTCTCTTTCTCTTTCTCTCCCCCTCTCTCTCTCTCTCTCTCTTTCTCTCTCTTTTTCTCTCTCTCCTTCCCTCCCTCTCTCTTTCTTCCACTGCACCTATCTATCTCCCTCCTCCTTCCTCTTAGTATTTACCCTTCTTCTCCTCCAATTCTTTCGTCCCTTCAGAAAAAAAACGGTCAAAAGAAAATAACTGCTTCCACTAATGGCTGGCTTACCCCAATTTCGTCTCGTCTTGGCACCGCGTTGCCTCCCACGACCGCGGTGTAGTGTAACCGTGTTTGAAGAGGAACGAGGCAGGTCCAGCGCCTTTAAAACATATCGCCATCTTTTAAGCAGGTTGACGGGAGAGCAATAAATATTCATAGGAAATTTGCCGACGACGAAAACGACGGCAGGAAAATCTCAAATGAATTCTGATAAAGCGACCACATGGTGTATCGTTCATCCAGCATGAAAAGGACTGGAAAGAGGCATCATAGTGCCAAGCCACACCCTTAGCTTAGATCTGGATTTTCTATTGAGAGTGACGCTTAATCTGCCTTAGTGGTTGCATTTCATTTTTTTTCCAACTTACGTTTTTATATATTTATTTGTTTATCTAATTCCTGAATGATTCCTTTTTTTCCAGCTGATTTTTTAATCGGTGTAGGTTAAGATGCATGATTTGACTTCTATCTCTTAAGCTGTAAACGTTATTTGACTTTTTAAAAAATGGAATATATATTGTACCCATACTACTGAAGCGTTCGTTATACACTAAGCAGACAATTGTAATGCATTGACAAAGAAGGAAGGGAAATGAAAGAGAAAGTAAAGGAAAGTGAGAGAGAAAGGGGAAGTAAGGGAAACTAAATAAGATTAATAAGTATGCAGGTGGTGCTTCTTACAAATTGGCCATTCTCTCTCCCGCGCGCGCAGAACCATTTCCATAACATTACAACGCGCGCTCAGGACCATTCGTGAAGCAGTGAATTCATTTTCATTTAATCAGGATCTATATGGCTTTGGGCTCCCTGATCCTTCACTCTCCGCCCTCCACCCGCTAGGCATTATGCTAATCACAGCATCAGGTGCACGAAGGCAGGTGTTGCAGTGAGGGTCCGAGGGCCGTGCACCTTGCAAGGCCAGATTTCGGTTGATTAAGCTACCCTTGTGGCTGCTCCATGCTATCGTCTTCCCCCCCCCCCTCGAGTAATGTTATTTTTTTTCCTTCTTTATTCTTTTTTTTTCTTTCTTTCTTTCTTTTAGAGAGAGAGAGATATATAATGGGGGAGGAAGGAAACTGCAATTTAGGAAGTTTTATCTGATACGTGCATCTCTTTCTTTCTTTCCTTCTCTCTCTCTCTCACACACAGACACACACACACACATACACACACATACTCTCTCTCTCCCTCTCTCTCTCTCTCTCTCTTTCTCCCCCCACCCCACCCCCCTCTCTCTCTCTATCTCTATCTCTCTCTCTCTCTCTCTCTCTCTCTCACACACACACACACACACACACACACACACACACACACACACACACACACATACTCTCTCTCTCTCTCTCTCTCTCTCTCTCTCTCTCCTCTCTCTCTCTCTCTCTCTCTCTCTCTCTCTCACACACAAACACACACACACACACATACACACACATACTCTCTCTCTCTCTCTCTCTCTCTCACACACACACACACACACACACATATACACGCACATACTCTCTCTCTC